GACTTCAGCCAGGTCACGATCTCGCGGTCCGTGAGTTCGAGCCCCACGTCGGGCTCTGGGCTGATGGCTCAGAGCCTGGAGCCTGTTTCCGATTCTGTGTCTCCCTCTCTCTCTGCCCCTCCCCCGTTCATGCTCTGTCTCTCTCTGTCCCAAAAATAAATAAACGTTGAAAAAAAAAATTTAAAAAAAAAAAAAAAAACCCACTGTCTTACCTATATGGAGATTTTTTTCTTCGATTACCAACCTTGGAAATAGCCTTTTATTTTATAAATGAAGTCAGTGGTAGAAACACTTGAAGAAATGAAACTCCAAGTAGGGGTTCCTATATATGGCTTTTCATAGAAGGCTAATTTAGTGACACAAATAAAACCTCCGAGGTCAAATTAATGGTAGAGCACTAAATGATCCTTCCTTTTGAGATTTAAAATGTACCTTAGTATATTAAAGATCCAGCATTTCCCAAGTTTTTGCCAGCATAATTTTATTTTCATTTTTTTTAAAGTTTATTTTCAGAGAGAGAGAGTGCAAGTGGAGGAGGGGCAGAGACAGAGAGGGAAGAGAGAGAGAATCCCCAGCAGGCTCTGCTCTGTTAGCCCAGAGTCCCATTCAGGCTTCAAACCCATGAAACTGTGAGATCATGACTTGAGCCGAAATCAAGAGTTGTCGGATGCTTAACCGACTAAGCCACCCAGGCGCCCCTGCCAACATAATTTTAAAAATACATACATTAACTATAGGTGTTCATGTGACTAAAGTTTGAGGAACAGGGCTAAGGAACTCTACCCATCCCTGGTGGTGCAAGAAGAGGTCCCTCCTAGGAGTTCAGAGTCCTGGAGAGTGTGTTTTATGGTGTGTTGGGGGATAGGGTTATACTTAATGTTTGTTTATATTTCTTGGCTGGATCCTGACACCAAACCTCCCTGAGTCAACAGAAAATCTTCAGGAAGATCATTGCTCTCTTCCTCAGGTTAGGAAGGTCATTAGGACCCCCCTAGGCTACCTTTTAGAGTTCGGGAAGTAGACTCAAGGTGGCCATTAAAGCTGCTTCTAAATTCTGTCTTGGGCCTGCATATACTTGATTATTATTCTTAGTTTCTGGTGCTCTTGTTGCTGTTTGCTTTCTATTTGATGTTGTTTGTAGGCTTTTTGATAACCTTTTATTGCTTTCTTTTGCTTTATAAAGCAATATATAGTAGTAAAATATTAAGAAGAATAGTATAAAGAAGAAAGTAAGTCACTTATAATCTCACCACTCAAATAGAATCACAACTAGCAACTTTTTGTCTATGTGTTCTGCGTGTACTGCTGCGTATAGAGATGTGATTCTGTGTATTTTGGTTTTTTGTTTGTTTGTTTTCTTTTTGGTGCAGAAAAGGTGGTTTTATTAAAGCATGGGGATGGGACCTGTGGGCAGAAAGAGCTGCCTGTGTGTATCCGTATGATACATATTTACATCTTTGTTTTAATTCACATTATGTCATGAACATTTTTATACTATTCAAAATTATTTATATCCATCATTTTAAATGATTATACAATAGTATATTGTTTTTTTAAATGTTTTATTTATTTTTGAGAAAGAGAGAGAGAGAAAAAAAACACTCCAGCAGGGGAGGGGCAGACAGGCTGGAATCAGGCTCTGTGCTGACAGCAGACAGTCCATTGGGGGTCTTGAACTCTCAAACTGCAAGATCATGACCTGAGCCAAAGTCAGGTGCTTAACAGACTGAGCCACCCAGGTGCCCCACAATAGTATGTCATTTGAAGATACCATAATTTATTGAACCATTTGCCTGTTTTTACATATTTAGTGTGTTTATGTTTATATAATTTTTTTAAATGTTTATTTTTGAGAGTGAGAGACAGAGTGTGAGCAGGGGAGGGGTAGAGAGAGAAGGAGACACAGAACCTAAAACAGAACCTGAACCAGGCTCCAGGCTCCGAGCTTGTTTATGTCTATGTAAATAAAACACTATTGTCTCTTAGTGGACCACATGAAAAATGACACAATAAATTTTCACCAAACTTGGGGCCTATGTTTGGGATAGGCAAATTCAGGTGTAGGCTATGAAGGAAAGAATGTATTTTTGTTGTGGGGCTTGATGGAGAAACTTTAGGGGAGGAAAAATAATTTTCTCTCTACTCTTCTGAGTTCTTGGCTGAGACTCCCTGCCATAAAAAACAGATTAGCAAGAGAAAAACAAACAGAAGTTTTTTAAATATGTATACCTCATGCATACATGAGAGATACCCAGAAAAACTGAGTAACTCCCCAAGATAGCTCAAGCCACCTCCTTAAACACCATCTTAAGTTAAAAACAAAAGAAAGGTGTTGGGACAAAGGGAAGTCCAGTTGTGGGAGGTTGCCAAGAAAAGTAGAGTAAACAAGGGTTAGGTTTGTCATGCAGATTTAAGTCAGTGTTTCCCTGTTGATAAGAGTGGAGTCTTACAGCCATCCTTTTCTTCCTGGTACTGGGAGGGAGACACATTTATAAATGATTTCCTTTGTAAAACATAAATATCCCTTATGAAAGGGTCACTTCTATTCTTGTTTGCAGAGCTTCTTTCTCATCTGCTGTTTCTTAGAATGGTCAGCTCAGAATAATCTTTTTTTCTGCTACCTTTCATACCTCAAAGCGATTGACAGACATCCTTGAGAACAACTGAAGTAAAAAGAGAGATCCATGACTGAAGTGGGGTGGAGGAGACTTGTCAGACATATTATATGACACTAGATAGAAATCAGACATAATGGCTTCCATTTTTGTGTCCCCAGTCAAATGGCATGAGGACATCAACCTACTCATAGCTACTGATCTGCAATCAAATTGCTTTTCATGTAGGCAACTCTATGAGGAATCCCAAGGGCATTTCTGCCCACAAAATGTTTACAATGATGAAAACCTAGAATATCTACCGTCAAACACTTGGAAGGGAAGCCGGTATGAAGGACAGGTAGAATTCTGTATGAGGCCATGGGCTGATTGATCCATCCATCAATCCATCCTTGCTTCTATCTCTGTAACTGTCTATCACCCACATAATTAGCTGCGTGAGTATTCCCATATTCTTCAGCCTCATGAGGCTATCTTTCCATTGAATATTTAAAAGAATGGCTGGAGCGCCTATAACAGGTATAGCAGGAGAGACTTTATGTTCCTTGATATCTCTGAGGTTTCTTACAATTTTTTAGCTGAATTAAAAATCACTTGTATGTGTCCTCCCTTTTCTGTATGCTGCTTTAGCCCAATTTACAACACAGTCTCTTACCCTTTTTTCACACACATAATGTAGTTGTATGAATATAATTTACTTGGAATGACTGGGTGGCTCAGTCTGTTGAACGTCCTTTTCTTGATTTCGGCTCAGGTCATGATCTGAGAGTTGTGAGATGGAGCCCTGCTTAAGATTCTCTCTCTCTCTCTGCCCTTCTCCCCCCCTCATGCTCTATCTCTCAAATAAATAAATAAATAAATGCATAAATAAATAAATAAGCATGTGTTAAAGACTTTTAAAAAATTGAATTTACTTAAGATTTGGCATTAAAGCTTCTCATTGGCCAATTTCTTGTATTGGTCCTCCTGGCCTCTCACTTGGTGAAGGCCTTTCCCACCTTCTCCTCAATATTGTCATTTCCTTTAATCCTTCCTTAGTCTAGCCCATCAATAGTTCATATTTTTTCACATTAATTTTTTTTAATTTTATTTTAGAGAATGAGCAGGGGAAGGACAGAGGGGGAGGGAGAGAGAGAGAGAGAGAGAGAGAGAGAGAGAAAAAATATCTCAAGCAGGCTTCACGCTCAGCATGGAGCTTGGCATGGGGCTCAATCCCACCACTCTGGGATCATGACCTGAGCCCAAATCAAGAGTTGGATATGCAACCGACTGAGACACCCAAGCGCCGCTCTCCTGTTTTTTAGCAAAGCAATTAAATTCTCTGTCTGCCCATGTCTGTGGGCTTCCTCTTTTATACCCAGAGATGTTGTCAAGATACTGTCTTAAATCTTGCTGGTTCTCCTCCTAAGAGGAATTCTGTACTCAACACTTAACATAATAAAAAGCTTTCACATACCCATCTATACCCATGTATCTATTTATATTTTTATCCAGCTATCCATTTATTTAATCTATCTATCCCCTTGCCAACATCTACACATTTATCCATCCACCCAACTCTCAATCTTTCTGCTTTTCTCCATCCTGATTCCTCCATGACCCTCCAAAGACCCAGAACACTCTTTATGGGAAGTTTCTTTCTCTAATTTTTTTTAAAAAGAAACTTATTCTTTGTACAAATAACTATCAGCTGCCTTGAAATGACAAAGGAGAAATAGATAAATAGTGTATTTCTGGGAATAAATAATTATAATCTTTGTCTTGGGCAAAGGAAGAACAGGTAAGAACCAAGTTAGAATTAAGTGAACAAAACCAAGTGCATTGGGGCCATTCACTGAAGGAGCTTGGCCAGGAATGACATAGTTGCATATGCCAAAAGTTGGGTGTTGGTAGAAATACACTCAAATGCAAACACCACACACATTCAGAAGTACCTAATACTTTTTCTTGAGCTTAGTTTGAATGCAGCTGTACTCTCATTATACTGATTATATCATGCAACTGATAAACATTATTTCTAAAAGTTGAATCCCTCAGCATATTCACAGAGATCCCATAACTGGACGATCACTGACAATACTACCACTATGTGTGTGTGTGTGTGTGTGTGTGTGTGTGTGTGTGTGTGTGTGTATGTATATATAAAACTATATGTGGGTATAATATATATAGTGGTATATTTAGAAATTAATATTTATTATGTTATATATCAGGATTACTGTAGATTTGCTATATTTCTTACTTTTTTTTCTTAATTGTGTTAAATAGTTGAAAGTAACTTTGTAGCATTAGAAGCATAGCCCAAATTTGAAATAAATGCCATTGTTTAAAATGCTCCACCTCTACACTGACATGGCCAACTATTTATTTTCTTTTTCCCCTTAGGCAGGGAAAGTCATTCCTATTGGAGACAGAGTTGCAACCTGTTTGACTGAAAAACTTCCTAGGGTGAGCATTTTCAATATGGATTTTTGTGAGCATTAGACAACTCCCAACATTTCTTATGAAAGTTGTATAAACTTAATGTGGTCAATTTTGATTATTTACTGTATTTTGAGTCCTTTTATTGATTTTGTCCAAGGAAGTAAAAATTCAGGCTTAAAATTTCCAGCTCTACAAAAACTGTTGAAAATACCGTTTATTTCTATAGAAAATAGTCATTTATGTTATGCTTTCTAACCTGAATACTTCCTGGTTGTTTTCTAATATAAATTTTAAAATATGATGTTTATTTCTATAAAACAAACACATGTTAGGAAGTTTCATTATTTGGGTCTATAGTTCCTCATGTACTTACTCTACTCATGCAATGAAGGGGGGGTGTTCACTGATTGGTATAGATTAATCTTGCTAATATTTTCAAAACTACTTAGTTTCATTTTCTTGTCTCACTGTAGCTAATTACTCCACCTGAGGCAAAAAAATTTTTCAACTATAGATATCCACCTGCTGGAGCTGAAAGAGTATTTTATGGCAGAGCAAATGATCCCCAAATCGCACCTTATTTGACACATGGAATAAGATCTAAAACTTCAATACCGGTAACGTCTTTTCCTTTTTTCCCTGTATGTTATTAACTTCCCAAAGTGAAATTGCACAAATGAGGTATTAATGAAATCATCAGTTCCAGTATCCTTCCCTCTCATACTCTTGAGTAGTGAAAAAATCCAAGCAGCAACAGCCAAGACACAAGATATTAATGGTCTGAGCCACAAACTACACATTCTCCCCTCAGATAATTAAGAGCCAAGTTGCTCTCCATTCTCTCCGAGTAGAGAGAAATGCTGTTGGGCTTTGTTAGAACGCAGAGAGGATGAAGGCTGGGTGATACCACGTTGAGGCACTACGTGGTGCTTGTGTATACTTTGCAGGGAGCAGGCTGAATGTTGACTGGGCAGTCCAGATTCAGAACACCTCATCTATATATCTGGAGAGAGCTTGTGGCAGCCTCGTGGCTCTTGCACTTGTCGTTCCCACACTTCTAGACTCTGATTCAAGTAGCCACGGCGCTCTCTTCATAAACCTTAGAGCCTCCTTGAAGGTTCATGTGTAGGCATGGTTCAGCTTCATAGCTCCAATTCTGACAGTTCATTTGAAGATGAGCAAAGGCAAGGACAATGAAATGTTTTTCCATAATCATATTCTCTTCTTCCCAGTTATTGATTAGTTTCAGTTTTCAGATTTTTGCTTTTGGTTGTTGTTACATCTGTGCTTTATATGATTTCTTTAGGCAAAGGTATTGATAAATCCACAGCCCATTACAACATTTCAACAGAAAATTAAAGATAAAAAGGAATCAGTATATTTAAGCAATCAAAGGGCACCATTAGGAAAATCTCATGATCAAACACCAGGATTACCTAAAGGCCTGGATGTACTCCATACGACATTTGGGACAGCAGTCATCAGAGGTAATAAAAAAAAAATGGTGGGGAGCTGGATGATAAAATGAGTCTTCTAAAAAAAAAGAAAGAAAAAGAATTCTTAGAAAATGGAATTGAATATCTTGTTGACATGGCATTTGGTGGTGGTACAAATAAATGATGATTCAGAATGAAAGATGGGATCATAGCAAGAAAATTAGTCTCAGACCCAGAATCCTTAGAGTTTATGTGTACCAAGCAGTAAAATTTCAGGTTTTGGAGGCAGATTCAGTGAGAGATGATATAAAAACAGGAGAGAGATTCAAGAAAGTTAATATTGGAGCCAGCTATGAAGTCTGCAATCCCATCTCTATGGACATCCATTTGTGTGTTTTATTTCCACCGATGCTTCTGATGTGCTCATAACTCTTAACTTTTTATGAAACAGACCACAGAACAAGTAAGTTTGACCAGTGCTGTGTACCACACTCCATCCGTGCAGATCCACAGTGTCAACCGTGTATTAACCAAATGTAGGCAGTGTGTAGAGCAGAACTTCACTCTTCTTTGGAGAGGAGTGGAGCACATCTTTCAACAAACAATAAGTTAAAATGGAATTGGTCACAGGTCATTGTTTCTTCTGAAGCTCCAGCCTCCTGCCATGTTGTTGGGTGCTTTTCCTTACACCCATTTCACATGTATTCCCTCCTCTCCTTTTCAGGTCTCTTCTCCTCTTTCTCCAGGAATCTTACCACAGGAGACCTCAAATTACATTTTTTCTTTATCCTGCAAAGAAGTTTGGTTCTCTTTGTTTTTCTGCACCCATTAAGGCTCTATCTCAGGAACCCTACCTTTGTTTTCACCCAAAGGGCCAACAGATTATTTTCCTTAACATAGTAACACCAACTCTGGAAATAAATTATGCCTCTCTCTTGGGATGAAAAATCTGCAAAATCTACACTTCATCATGTCAGATCTAAAGTTAAAATTAGGCAAAATTTGAGGCTTGAAAAAAATGTATTTTAGGATAGATGATCTTTTTCCTTTATACTAGTATTTAGAAATTGTATTTATGTAGGCATGGCATTACAACATTATAATTATTATATCATAACTGCTATCTAGGATTACACCATTCAGTGTGAAAGTACTGTCAAGGTATACCACATTTAAATACATAATAGAATGTTCTAAAATGTGCATATGTCTATTCATAGCTGTAATAATTCATCTATGAGACAAAAAGTACTGCCTTACAGGATTATTCTGAGTTGACCCGCTTTCTGGTATTCTTCACTATTTGTGTATAGGCTGTGCCCTGTCTTTCTTGCTAAATCTTCATTTGTGTTCTCTCAGAGTGCCCATGTAGCCTATGCCATTGGCATACCTCATTTGTCATTTGTTCTAGTCAATTTAAATATGTTATAAATAGATGGAAATTACCTTAAACCTGATTTCATCAATTTTTCCTTTAGAATTATCTGCTAGAGATGTAGTGAATCCACCAAAACCCTATGAAGAAGTATGTAAAGAAGGAAAAGAAGGACATGATCTGTATATTGTTTCTCACAATGATTATTATGTGGGTAAGTGCCCTCCAGTGTAAAATAGGCCTGAGCATATAGGATTCTCAGATTTGTGGAGAGGAATAAAGATTATGTGTATAAGGTTAAATGCCTGCATATAATAAGTGATCAGTAAATAATAACTTATTAATCATAAGGTCATAACCCCTGATAGCTAGGTACACATATACTTATGCATTTTGTATATTAAATGTAGAAATGTATGTATTATTAAAAGGAAAAAAACATCTTAGAAAGGTTACATGGTAGTTTTAGGTTTAAAAAAAATACTGTTCTTATTCAAAGGTCAGGATTATTCTAAGTACTAAGATTGGGTAATGGTCAAGTGCACAGTTTTTTGAATCAGATAGCACAGGTTCAAGTGCTAGCTTATCCATTTACTGTCTCTAAATCTTGGATATTTTAATTATCCTACCATCGTCTATTCTAATCTCTTAAATGGAGATGATAATATTGTGAGGATTAGGGGAGTGCCTGCAAAATGCTTAGCATAGTGCCTGGAACATAGAAGGGGCTCAATTACTACTCCTACTCCTACTCCGACTTCTACTCCCACTCCTATTCCCACTCCTACTCCTACTATTATGATGTAATCTTGTCTGATGTAGCATATCACTAGAACTATTCTATAGCACAACTAAAAGGCATTAGATATTTAGAGTGCTGTGAAATACAGCTTAATTGTTGGCATGTTGGTGCTAAGTGGAATCTTGATGAAATTAATAGAAGACAGAATCAGACTCCGATATATGTCCCGAGAAAGCTGATGGATTATATGTGATTGATTCATGAACTCAGTCTTCATTAGCTAGAAGCAAGGCTTGCTCTTTACTGCAGCGCAAGGCCCCTCTCTCCCTTGCTTTCTCTTATTTCTTTACTTGTTCTCCTCTACCACCCTCTCATACCATAGTCCCTCTCTGTGCTCTTCCTCCTAATTCTGTTGGTAGCTGGGCCTGTTTCCTATTCTCATTGCTCCACTGTCTGGAATCTGTCATTCTCTTCTTTCAGGGCCAATCTCTGCTGATTCCCTACACTTTAACACATCCAGTCCTGAGATGATTTCTGCCTTCCCACTCTCACGCCACTGCTTCCCTCACTCGGTCGTGGGTACCCCTTCTACTTCCCTGGCTCTCTCCCTCCCTCCCTCCCTCCCTCCCTCCCTTCCTCTCCTCCCTCCAGTCCTCCCTCCTCTTATTCCTCCTTCCCTTTCCCCCTTTTTGTGAAAATACCGTATTCATTTTTTGAAAAAGCTGAGCATGTATTGCACAATAAAATCCAGCACTTTTTTTTTTTCAACGTTTTTATTTATTTTGGGGACAGAGAGAGACAGAGCATGAACGGGGGAGGAGCAGAGAGAGAGGGAGACACAGAATCGGAAACAGGCTCCAGGCTCTGAGGCATCAGCCCAGAGCCCGATGCGGGGCTCGAACTCATGGACCGCGAGATCGTGACCTGGCTGAAGTCGGACGCTTAACCGACTGCGCCACCCAGGCGCCCCAGAATCCAGCACTTTTAATTGTCATCAAACATATATGCATATATGTATGTACAACATAATACAGACAACTTGTAACTAGATACCTTATATATATTTAGCAATTAGAGGAAAATGAGCATAGATTTTTTTTATATTTAGAAGAGCTCTAATGGACTATAAAATGATTGACATTACTTTCATTTGATGATTTAAAATTTTTTTTAATTTAATTTTTTTGAGGGGTGTGAGGTGGAGAGAGTGGGAGAAAGAGAGAGAGAGAGAGAAAGAGAGAGAGAATCTTAAGCAGGTTCCATACCCAGTGTGGAGCCCGAGGTGGAGCTTGATCTCAGGACCATGAGATCGTGACCTGAGTCGAAATTGAGAGTCAGACGCTTAACCAACCAAGCTACCTGGGTGCCCCCATGTGCTGTTTTTTATGGAAGTTTCATTGGCCTCTTGAAAAGGTGTAAAATCCAGGGTGCCTGGGTAACTCAGGATGGTTCGTGAGATTGAGCCCCATGTCGGGCTCTGTGCTGACAGCACAGAGCCTACTTGGGATTCTCTCTCTTCCTCTCTCTCTACCCCTTCCCTGATGGCAGATACACATACGCTCTCTCTCTCTCAAAATAAATAAACATTAAAAAATAAAAAATATATAATAATTGTAGAGAATTTAAAAATCTCAAAAAATGGGGGGCACCTGGCTGGCTCAGTTGGTAGAACATGTGACACTTGATCTTGGGGTTTTAAGTTTGAGCCCCACACTGGGTATAGAGATTACTAAAAAAAAAAATTAAATCTTTGGGGTGCCTGGCTGGCTTGATTGGAAAAACATGTGAATCGGGGTGCCTGGGTGGCTCAGTCGGTTAAGCGGCTGACTTCGGCTCAGGTCACAATCTCACACTCCGTGAGTTCGAGCCCCGCGTCGGGCTCTGTGCTGACAGCTTAGAGCCTGGAGCCTGTTTCAGATTCTGTGTCTCCCTCTCTCTGACCCTCCCCCATTCATGCTCTGTCTCCCTCTGTCTCAAAAATAAATAAACGTTAAAAAAAAAATTAAAAAAAAAAAAACAAACAAAAAACAAAAAAAAAAAAACATGTGAATCTTGATCTCAGGGTCATGAGTTTGCACCCAACACTGGCGGGTACATATTGCATAAATAAATATTAAAACAAATACATACATACATACACACCTAAATATCTCAAAAAAATTGGAAGAGAAAGTAAATGTAACCTTGAAATCCCATTAGCCAGAGATAACTACAGTTTATATCTTGAACATCTTTTTAACCTGCATGCACTAAGCCATCTATCTTTAGTTAAACGGTGTAATATTCTCCATGCTTTTGGGGAACTTTAATGTACATACATTAAACATTTTTTACTTAAAATAATATGTCAAAAAAAAAATGGAGTGCCTGGGTGGCTCAGTCAGTTAAGCATCTGACTTGATTTCGGCTCAGGTCATAATCTTATGGTTTATGAGTTTGAGCCCTGAGTCACAGAGCCCCTTAGGATTCTCTGTCTCCCTCTCTCTCTCCCCTTCCCCCATTTGCACACATGCACCCTCTCTCTCTTTCTCTTTCAAAAATAAATAAATAAATATTTAAAAAATAATATGTGAAGGGCACCATTCAATCACAATAAATATATAACATCTTTGAAATACACTTAATTTTAGTCATTACTGTAATAATACATATTTCTTTTATAAAATACAAAGAAAATCTCCCACAATTCCCAGTCTTTCACAGATGATACTTTCATAGATGCTTTTTTTTTGTGCATTCACATAGGAGTATATATGTGTGTTTTGTTTCCCCACTATATATGCTTTTTTCTACTTGCTTCCCCCCCATTTAATGTAACACTGTAGTTGTTTTTCCATATCAGTATCTATATTGTATTCTTCAGTATCACAAAATATATTGCTTATATATCTTTGTGAATGTGATGTTTTTAGGATATATTCCTAGATTTATGAACATTTGAAATATTAACTCTGAAAGCCAAAACATACACCAAAATAGGTGCCCCAGTTTGCCCGCACACCCATAGTGTATTAGAGTTTCCACTTCCCATCCTCCTTAACAGTGAGCATTGCCAATCTTCTTTATTTTTACGTGAGAGACAAATTATGATTTCACATTATTGTTTTTATTTACATTGTTTGGATTACTGGTGAGGCTGAATCTCCATCCTTTTTTTTTTTTTAATTTTTTTTTTCAACGTTTTTTTTTTATTTTTTTTTATTTTTGGGACAGAGAGAGACAGAGCACGAACGGGGGAGGGGCAGAGAGAGAGGGAGACACAGAATCGGAAACAGGCTCCAGGCTCTGAGCCATCAGCCCAGAGCCTGATGCGGGGCTCGAACTCCCGGACCGCGAGATCGTGACCTGGCTGAAGTGGGACGCTTAACCGACTGCGCCACCCAGGCGCCCCTCCATCCTTTTTTTAACCTTTTAGCTGATCTCTAGTTTTATCTAGAAAGACTAACACCTTATCTAGAAGACTTTTATCTAGAAGACTAACTCCACATTATGACATGAAAAAAGTACAGTATTAGATGTTAATTATAAAAAGCTCCCTGTTGGGTTCTCAGGCTTCAGTTTCTAATATGAGATAAGTGAATACAATGAAATGGGAGGGTTGCAATGTTCTGATGGTCTCATCAAATCAGCAAGTACAAAACACCAGGCTCTCAAATCTTAGCACAGTGTGGAAAGGGAATCTTGGGATCCCAAAGCACGGCAGTACCTCCCCTGATCTTTAAGATTTCTGCAACGTTAATGGGGCCTGGATTTTTCATCATTCATATGTCTTTCTCCTACATCATTTCTGTACTTACTTTCCAGATATGAAGACAAGGGACTCTTGTTCCACCAGTCTCCCAGCTCACGTGGGAGGCTGCTTGTCCTCCGTTGCCAAATCTGTGCAATCCTGGCACTGTTACAATTCCATTTGGTTCCCACTCTCATTTTCATTGTCAGTGAGAGCATAATGTGCTTCTTGCAAGATAAGGTTATTTGTGTTGCTTCCTCTTTTTTATCATAGGAGAAGCAAAGAACCGAAAGTATAACCCATCAAGTTTCCATAGGTTTAACTTGTATGGGGTCCCAACACCACATTTTAATGATGGACGAGCCATGGCAAAAACTTTATATTGGCTCCATGAACTACAAATGTAAGTTTAATTATATTGTATCCTGAAACAGGTGTTAAATATCATGGAACATGTACTTAAAGAATAGTATGTTGATTAAATTTATTTTTTGAAGAGGTGCAATGCATTGATATTGTTCAAACATAAAATTAATAGAAAAAGATATGCAGTGATATGTCTTCCAAACTTCCCAGTTCTCCCAGAGATAACCATGATACTGTATGTGTGTGTGTATGTGTATCATTCTATGGTTATTTCATGCCTTTGCAAGCAAATCTGAAGATGTATTTTTAATCTATAGAATCAACCCGATTCATGTTTCTTAAAGATGTGGGCTTTCATATCTCTATAAGATGGTCATATCATATATAACTGAATTGTTATTTATCATTCAGTTTTGTTTCATAGTTATTTGGGCACCTGAGTATCTGACCTAATTCTTGCAAACTGTGACCTTTTTATGCCTGAATTCTAGATAGGACTACTTGCCTAGAAAATTAAAATAAAGTTCCTTAATTTTTCATTTTCTGTGTTATGTTTTATATATAGGTTAACACTTAAGCATTGGGAGATTACTGATAATAATTCATATTTCCTCCTATGCTTAAAAAAACCATAAGATTGGAAATACTGATATAGTGGCTTGAATGGTGGCCCCTCAAAAAGACATTGTTCATATTCTAATTCCTAGAACCTATGAGTGTTACCTTATGTGAGAAAAGGGTCTTTGGAAGTGTAATTAAGTTAAGGATCTTGAGATGAAGAGGTCATTTTTGGATTATCTGGGTGGTTCCTAAATCCAATGACAAGTGTCCTTATAAGGGAAGGCAGAGGGAGATTTGAGACAGAAGAGGACAAGACACATAGAGAAGAGGTGATGTGAAGATGGGGGAGATTGGAGTGACGTGGCCTCAAGCCAAGAAAGGCCAAAGAATGATATTTGCCTCCAGATGTTGGAAGAGGCAATGAATAGATTCTCCCCTAGAGCCTTTGGAGAGAATGTAGCTTTGCTGACACCTTGGTTTCTAACTTTTGGCCTCCTGGAATTGTGGGAGAATGTTCTTGTCGTTTAAGGCCACCAGTTTATGGGAATTTGTTACAGCAACCACAGGAACCCAGTACATCGTGCCTGTACTTCTGCACACCAGTTGTGGAAGTAGATTTGTTTTGCCCTCTGCCCTCTTTAAAGGAGACACTGGCCATCCAAGTCTCCATGGGCCTCAGTGTGCATACAAAGTTTGCATGCCCACAGATACTCAACCTGCCTGGCTCATTCGTCTGTGTGGCCCCTGTGATAGCAGCTCCCTATGTTAGAGGCAAGGTGCTAAATACTTTACATGTTATTAATTTAATTTTTCCAACAACTCTTTGAGGTAGCTGTGTTATAATTTTTATCCTTTCAATTTCGCAGATGAAGAATCTGTGGTACAAAGAAGTTAAATCGTGTACCCAATATCATGCAGCTAAAAAGTACTAGGGGTAGAAATGAAACCCAGGCAGCGTGGCTCCAGCGGCTGCCTCTAACCCCCATACCAGGTTTATAGGCACTGGACTCTGTGATCACAGGCCTGAAATACTGATTTCCATTCCTCGTCTACTTTTTTATTATGAGTTTCTGATACTTGAATTATTCAAAGCAATAATGGTAAAACATAAACCCAAAACGAATTCTTGTAATATTATATACTAAACCCATATGAAATAGTTTTCTTTAGAGTACAGAAGAAGAACCCATATAGCAAACATTTGTTAACTTGTTAATATTCAAGTAGTTAAACCATTATTTAAGGATTATTAAGGATTATAGATATATGAATTAAATATAGAAATTAATGCCTAAAGGAAGATAACAAAATGTGGTTTATCCATTTTTGAAAGCTTAGAAATGTAAAGCTGTTACCAATTTATAAAAGATCTAAAATAAACACAACGGCAATGTGGTCCTTAAGAATGTCCTAGAGCAGAGCCTTTAGGTTATTAACAAGGACATATTTATCAATGATTTGGTGGGATAGTCATAGAAATATACAATGAATACAACCAAAATGAATGCAGTGTTATGTGTCAATTATATCTAAATTAAACAAACAAACAAACAAACAAACACTGAATTTGTAAAAGCAGGTAACATGCAGGGATCGTTTTCCTCCAACTTGTCTCTACCCCCAAGGAGACATCATTGATGGAACAATGCTTTATTTGATCATATTTCTTGTATTTTGAAACTTAATTATTGCAAAAGCAATAGAGAGATTCTCCATTGCTTTGGTTTGCTGGATTTTTAAAAGTTTATTTTAATATATAAATCAGAGAGAGAGGGGGTGAGAGTAGGGGAGGGGCAGAGAGAGGGAGAGAGAATCCCAAGCAAGCTCCACACTGTTAGTGCAGAGCCTGATGCGGGGACTTGAACTCACAAACCATGAGATCATGACCTGAGCCAAAGTAGGACAGTTAACCAACTGAGGCACCCAGGTGCCCCTGGTTTGCTGGATTTTAAAAAGAACTCACCTCATCATTCTACAGTGTGATGTCTATTATAATTTTGGAGTTAAGCATGTTTATAATTTAAGGTATCTCAGTTTTATATTTTAATGTAAATTTGGTTTACGCTCAGCTTTTAAGGGATGTATTTCCTCTGTAAAGCTACCTCTATCTATATTCTGTTTATGATCTTTGGTTTGAAGAATCAGAATCTTCAGATGATGGGAGTGTGTGTGTGTGTGTGTGTGTGTGTGTGTGTGTGTGTGTGTGTGTGAAAATTCACACGGAGGCCTTTATTCTGAGTTGTTTAGTGAATGCTGTGAGGTTGTGCAATGATGCTGAAGTTAAGGATATTCCGACAGACATGGCTGCTAACAGATACTTCATAGTTCTCCCAGAAACATAATCTAGGCACTTTTAGGGTGAAAGGAGTAAGCTCCGTGATTTATAATCCTTACCCACTTCATCCCTACATGTTCCTAATTATGCCCTTTGGAGGTGGTTTTTAGAATGTCAACCTTATTTGTTTAAATTATGGCCCTTAAACTGCCATTGATTTATTCTGACTTTACCCATATTGTTCTTTTTTCCCCCTTTTTGAACCAAGGGGAAGTTAATGGAGATATAAGAGATGAATTACTTTATATTTCATCTATTGTTTCTCCACAGAGTGTCACTCTTCTCCAGAAATTTATACGGCTCCGTGTTTCTATAGTACAGGAAACAGTTTTAAAAGCAAATGGAGTTTAAGAATTTAATGTTTATTGTTTTTAGTCTTAGCAAAACAATAATTTATTAATTTTAATGTTATTAAATAGTAGTGTTATACTTTATAGTTCTCAAAAGAAACCTTGTTCATTTAATCAGTGATAGAAGTAATGAAATTATATTACAGAAAATTGGCAAAATAAAATCACCCATAATCCTGTCACCAAAATTCAACCATTATTATCTTTTTAATGTATTTCTTTCTAGTGTAGCTTCCTGTGTAAATGTTGACATAGCTTTAATCACCATGTGATCCTATTTTATACCCTGCTTTCTCACTTAACATAAAATAATTTTATATTGCTGTATATTCTTAATAACCAACATCTAAAATGCATGCAGAGTGTATTCTTGTTATTGTGACATAATTTAATCACCCTCCATGACTAAACATTTATCTCCTTTTTTTTCATTTGTAGTCAATGAGCTACAAATATATACATATATATACATATATGTATACATATACATATATATGTGTATGTATATATATATATATATATATATACATACATACACATACATATATATATATATAAAACTTTCCCACATTTTAAGTTGTTATGTGGATTATCTTCTTATGATTGGCTCCCAGATATAGATAAAAGGGAATGACCGTTTTTATGCTTTTTGTGTCATATTACCACCAAATTATTTCCAAAAAGATTACAGTAATTTGCATTTACCAAGTGTTTTACTGCAAGTTGTACCAATGTTAGGTATTCTGTCTGTCTGTCTCTATATTTGCTTATGTACTATGCTAAAAGTGCCACTTTGTTATTCTTTTATTATACATTTGTTACTGGAGAGTATCATAATTTCTCCATATATTTGCTTACTAGATGTGAGTTATCTATTTATATTCTTTGGTTATTTATTTGTTGCTTAAACTTAGAAATTTTAGGAGTTGCATTTGTGATAATGATATTAACACCTTGGTTGTGTTTACTGAAAAAAATGTTAAATCTGCTTGTCTTATTCTTTACACAAAATTTTATATTCTACTATAAACTTATCTTTATAATAGAATATAAATGATAGAAGAATGAACATATACAGATTTTTTTAGCATACAGCTTTTTTTTGAAACTGGATGTATGTTTTGATGACTCAAATGATACTATGGTATTCCTCACCATATGTGTATTTGGCAACCAAGAATACTTAGGTTGACAATTTTCTAATTTTATAGGAAAAGAGGAGCTAAGGTTGTATCTAAGAGAGTTGATGATTTCAAAGAAAAGTTTCAACATCAACTTGGAAGAGTTTTAGATCCGTAAGTTAATAATTAACTTTGAATTGATAGTGTCTTTGGATGGAATTTAAACTGTGCTCTTGTGGTAAATGTTGGTTTGTTTTCTGTTAGGTGCTATCCGTTAATTTAAAAAGTCATCTTTCGTTATTAATCAGGGAACTCTACTCTACTCCATAGAGCCTGGGGTTCAAGGAAAGTGCTGAGTCCTCTGAAATGAAGAGGGCATTTGGAGAAAAGGGAGGGAGAATTTTGTGTAAAGCTTTATTTCTGGGATATGAGAAATTTATCATTTTCTCTCTCTCTTCCCTGTGTCTGTCTGTCTGCCTGTTTGTCTCTATTTCCGTATTCTGCTTTGAGTCTGTTCTTAATTTTCTTCTTAACTCTGGGCTTCTGAAGGCCAGGGAAAGCATATATAGCCATTGCTAATGCAAGCGGGAGGTTGGACAGAAGATCTTTTGGAGAACTTCTGTTTGATCTTCATAGTTGGTTATAGGAGAAATATAGGCTATTAAAAACATATGGCAAGTGTATTCTAAATTCCAGAGATGCCATGTGCTGAGTGTTTTAACTAAAGGATTTGTTTTCTTTGATAGCATTGCAGAAACAATGAATGTTCCCCCAGACCACACGTTTGGATCTTGTCTCCATGCCGAGGAGTATGGTAAATATACAAACTTTCCCCTTAAAAAACAAACAGCAACATCCCCACAAAGTTATGCTGTTAAATTCACCATCTCCTTTCCTCAAAGCTTCTAATTTTAAAGGCTTAAAACATTACATTAACATTAATGAGAATTTGTAGCACAGGAGAGAAAAAAATGTTCATATTACGTTTGAAATATGTACAGTTTAAAGCCTTTGTGAATGAATACCTTAAGTGTAGTCAAGGCTCAGAACTTTATTTAGAAAATAAATATGGCCTGTATTAAATACACGAAAGTGAGCGAAGCAGCTTTTTGGTGAATTCAAACTTTGGACGAGGCTCTTGTCACTCAATGTGGTATGCAGACTGGCAATGTTGGTGTCCCCTGAGAGTTTCTAAGCCATACAGAGTCCCAGGCTCCACCCCAGACCTACTGAATCTGAAACTGCATTTTGAAATATTCCCAGATGAATTGTAGGCACATTCAAGTTTGAGAAACCCCTCTACTCTACAATCACATAATTAAGAACCACTCTCTTCCCACCAGCCAATCAATCGATTAATCCATAAAGTGGCAGAAGAAACTTGCCAGGATTTTGTCTTTCTTTCTGAGCCATCTGTACGGTAGATATCCAAAGGCAAGACTAGGCTAAGGCTTGTCAGGATTAGGCTGTGTATCAGTGGTTTTCAAAGAGTCTGCAGTCTACCTGCATTAAAATCACCCAGGGAATTTATGAAATATGCAGGTTCCTGGAACCTGTGCCCAGACGTGCTGATCAAGCAGGCTCTTATGTATGCTTAAACTCAAGTTGAAGAACGGCTGTTGAAAAGGCTTTAGCTAAAGCCCACTCACTGACAAATAAGATGTATATTTATTGAGCTTGTGCAATAGTGTTTTCGACCAACATTAATCACATTAATTAGGAGACTGTATTTTGGGTCTGTTTTTTAGATGAATTGTTGCATGTTTAATGTATGCCTAACTGTCTTAGAGGCTCTTCTTACCTGTAAGAGTGGTTAAGAGATGATTTAGGAAATGCATCAATGAGCCTGAAAAGTAAATAGGTAATCATGGTAAATTCTGCTTACTCGAGGGTAGGCTTCATGCTGGTGGGTGCTTCATCTTGCTATCTGTTGGATCCCCGGGGTCTAGCATACAGTACATTTTTCACAAATATTTATAGCATGAATTGGTGAATCCAACACATAGTTTATCATTTTGACAGTTTGACAGCACTGACAAATTTCCTAATAGTTGATCGAAGTTATCCTTACAAATTGAATAAGATAGTGTTACAAAATGAAAAGGAAGAACACTGACATTAATAATTTTAAAAAGATGTAAGTATCAGTACCAGCATTGGTGCTGCATAGTTGAACTGTGAAAGGGGACTGATAAGTCCTCTCTGGACTTTTTCTGGAGTTTATGGATGGAGACAGATTAACTGTAGGTTCTCACCTTTTGTGACCATTGTTGGGGTCAATGAATAGCATTTATTCTGCAGAAAGCTCCTGCTTCTAGGGACTTACTGATTTCTTTACTGGGCCTGAATTTCTCCTTTACACTTACTTATGGAAATAAAGGCAGCTGTGCAAAGAATGTCTCATCCTTAAGGCCTGGAGTTACTGGGTATGTTAAGATGCCTCCAGGAAGCGTGTAAGGGTTGTGCCCAGCTCCGAGTATGCACCAGAACCAAGACCAGTGGACAGTGCTGCATCATGGGAATTGGTTGCAGGCAGAGTACAATCAAAGAGCTTGCTTGGCTTTTCTGACGGCCGTGGAATGGTAGCCAGGTCACGGTCTCTCGGGGCCAGAACTTTACTCCTGATTTCAGCTCTTTAGAGGTGACTCTTGAGTAATTGCAAGTGATTTGACATGAGCTTTATAAAATATTCTTTCAGGGCCAGGCCAGGAGAAGATATCAGCATATATATCACTCACCAGGGGTTATACCTAGTGAAGAGTATAGTGGCAAAACCAGGTGGAGTTGAAAAAAACCATCATTCAAATGTTCCTTTTGGATGTTAATGGAGAGGGAAGGCCTCTGAAGGTAAAAACTCAATCAAGAGCCATCTTATGGAGGAATGAAGAGCCACCCACAGGGTTTATATTAGGGGGAAGGAATGTGGAGGAACAGAAGAAGCCATGCTTATCTGTCAAAAATCACTTTCACTGTCATGATTTCCTCTCACAAAGCCACTTATGCTTTGCCCACTTCAGGGTGGTCCGATGATAGCTGATTCCACTTCAGATGACTTTTTCTGAGGCACTTGCCAAGTTCCTGGAGCCAGCCTTAGTTGTAGGCTTCTCACCCATATCTACCCGTAAAAACATGACTTTTATCAGAATAGGTGGGATTAGCGCCTGATTTTATAGTAAGTAAGAATCTCAGAGGTGCCATGAGCACCTATTAAAAGAGACCCTTGACAGAGCCTAATATAGGGACTTACACAGAGCAGGTATAAATACTAGTTGCTGCAAACTGCACCAATGTAGTGATTTAAATGATTCCATCTAGGATATGACAGTCAACTGCCAACACGACCCTGCCCCCAAGAAAGCAGGAAGGAAGGGCATTGGCATGAATTGAGGCAAAAGGTTCCTTCTGGTGACATCCACCAAGCCACCGCATCTGAAGCAATGGGGTCAACTCTACTCTGATCTCTGTCACCATTAACATCCAAGGAATCCATTTTCTGGCAAGGAATGGGCTTAGAGGCAGAGTGTATGTTTGTACTTTCTTTGTGTCATAATCTGGGGAAGTTCGTTTAAGTCATGAAGGATAAGTGGAAGCAAGGTCCAGGTCTAGGGGGCATGTAGTAGGTAGACTGGAGACTTTATTACTTCCAGATAACTGAGGGGATTGTGGGTCAGGACTCAATTAATGGAACTGTGATGAGGGCTGGTCTCCTGTGTAGGTGGTTGTACTGGGGAAGCGGGGCTGAGAAATGGAAACTTGATATGCAGAATGAAGGCAGACTGGAAATTCATATTAGAAGGGAGTAGGTAATTTGAGTTCCATTTTTACAAGGGATCCCAGAGATTTATTAACTTCAAGGTATATAGAGTGGTCCCTTATGGACTCTGCCCCACTTTCAGATCTTCAGCATTGTAGACAAATGTTTGCTAAGAGGCAGATAGGCAAGGGCTTCACGATCTTAGGAAAGACAGCCTAGGAGGGCTGATGAATCCCCTCCCCCAACATTCATTTTGTCAGAAGTATTAAGTTTTATCAGTTATTTTATGTTCTTTTTTATGTACAAGGATTTTTTAAAAGTTTATTTATTTATTTTTTAATTTACACCCAAGTTAGTTAGCATATAGTGCGATAATGATTTCCGGAATAGATTCCCACGATTCATCCCCTATGTATAACACCCAGTGCTCATCCTAACAAGTGTCTTCCTTAATGCCCCTTACCCATTTAGCCCATCCGCCCACCCACAACCACTCCAGCAACCCTCAGTTTGTTCTCTGTATTTAAGAGTCTCTTATGTTTTGTCCCCCTCATATACAAGGTTTTTGTTTTTGTTTTTGTTTTTAACACACTGCATAATAGAATCAGAGTTAGGCATGAGGTTTTTTCATTCAAAGAAGTTGCTAGATCATTCTCTCTTTTAGGATGGGAATAATATTGACAGACTTTATCTGAATTCAGATGAAAGACTTTTTCTCTCCCTCTTTAATAGGAGCTGGTGATCTCATCCATAACAGACTTCCGGGTGAGTATCTTCGAGGCAAGGATAGACAGAGAGCCCTGATTGCAGCAGTGCGACACCACCTCAAGAAAGTTAACTACCAGAACTTTGACACTTTGCTGGCAGCCTTCAGGCACTATGACAAGGTCAGTAGCTGAACAGAACTTTTGGGGCTATGCACGGGCTTACAGATTCTGGCAGGTTGGTGTAGATCAGGGGTCAGCAGATTAAGGCCCATGGGTCAAATCCAGTCCACCACCTGTTTTCATAAATAGTTTTATAGGCCAATTTACTTCGAATATTTTCTATGGCTGCTTTTGCACTATAGATGCCGAATAGGGCATCAGAGACTAAGTAGCTTGCAAAACCTAAAATACTTGCTTTTTGGCTTTTGACGGTAAAAGTTTACTGACCCCGGGAGTAGATCAGTGGTTACCAAAGTGTGGTTCTTTTATCACTGTCAGGGTCACTTGGGAACCTGTTAGAAATGCACAATCTAAGGCCCACCCCAGACCTACTGTATTGGGGAACACGGGGTTGGGGCCTAGCGACAGTGGTTTAACAAACCCTGCAGGTTGATACACATTCAATTTGATTAACAAGCCCTGCAGCCCTGATACACATTCAATTTGAGAACCGCTGAGGCAGATTTAACTGTACCGTGCTGGGAGCAAGGGGAGGGGGTGGCACCCTAGGTCCCCAGGGAAGACTTCCTGGGTCTAGGTCATTTATACCTAAAGCTGAGTATGTACACGTAGTGCTGTCAAGGTCCAAGTCAGACTTAGAATGTCTCTCCCCTGGGGGAGTGGTTGCGGTTTCAGTTTTGAGAGTATAAAATCATTCAGTTTTCAAGCTACTCTAAATTGTAACCTTTGAAAAAGTCAGATAAAGCTAGGGCTGCGTAATAACCTCACACCATTTTAGGCCATCGCAGGATTGTTTTTACCGAGCTGCACTGCCTTTGGCTTATACTAAGGTGCACTATTGTGCAAATCTCTTGTGAAATATGGCACAATTTTATTAGTATGCCGATGAGGCTGTTTATTTTTGTCACATGCATCCTCTTTATATAGAGAAACCCATTCTTTCTAAAGGAAATAATTGTGTTTCATTTAAGTATCTGGTTTGTTTTTACCTCATGAGCATGGATTTTGTACTGATTGTGAATACCTTTTTGAGTTGGCCTCCAGGAAGCTCAGAGCCAATTCAACAACACACATCTAGTTTTGTGAACATGATCTTACAGCATACATTTTGTGTACTCTTTTTATTCCAGTTTCTTCTTATTTTAGTCCATCTTTATTTTCTCTTTGCTCTGATTTCCTCACTTTTCGGGCTCTGTTTCATTGTACTCATTTTTCTAGGCAGCCTCAAACTATTTTAGAATGAGTCCAATATAAACAAATAAAAGCTCCTAAATAAACCTGTAATGATGCAGCGCATCATAATTTTGATTTGAGAAGAAAAAACCCTGAGCAGAATGATTTTAGTTTATCTCAAAGAGAAAAGATAATGTTTATATCTCCCTTCCAATGTTGAGCACAGTTTAGGAAAAGTTACACTTCACATTTTTTATCTTAAAAAAAAATCTTGATTACTCATTGGCTTATTCAGTTTAATCCATTCATTTTCTTTGTTTTTTTAGATTAGGGGTCTGTGTGCCTGTGTTGTACTGATGAATAAAAAGTGGGTTAACTGTCTCATTTATATTTGTACCAATTATGCAGGGACAAACACCAATCAGTCACCCACTGCATTTCTTGCAAAGTTGTGTTTAAAGAAAATGTAAGCATTCAACTGTTTCTCTGGTTTCTAACAGAGACAAATTCTATTTACAGGTAATTTAAAAATGAATCTTCAGACTTAAAATATGTAAGCTAAAATAAGTACATTTTAAACTTGACTCAAATACAAGTATCTTACAAAGATCATAGTGGGGTAAATTTATTTAAATTTTTTTTTTTAACATTTATTTATTTTTGAGACAGAGAGAGAGCATGAACGGGGGAGGGTCAGAGAGAGAGAGGGAGACACAGAATCCGAAACAGGCTCCAGGCTCTGAGCTGTCAGCACCGTGCCCGATGCGGGGCTTGAACTCACAGACCGCGAGATCATGACCTGAGCCGAAGTCGGACGCTTAACCGACTGAGCCACCCAGGCGCCCCATGTGTGATAAATTTAGATAGCACTGATACAAATAAGAGAATCTATCACAATACATGGTGCTCTGCTTTTAAAAAATTCTTCATTTAAAATGTAATTATAGGCAAGACGATCATCTTAATAGCTGTTGATTATCTTAGTGAACCACCAGGCACATTCTTTATGATAAAATTAAATTAAGCAGAGAGGAAATTACTGAGAATTATTTAATTTTGATATACCTTTTAAATAGTTAACTTTTAATATGTACAATGTAGTGCTCAGTGTCCTCGAGGAGCTTTTTTTCTGACAGGGTAATAAGATGTGGGTCTTCCTGGTACAGCTGTAGGATAATTTTTGATTATTTGAATCTTATATGATTGGATGCCCAGATTTAGTTTAATGAAAAACACAAAACGAAACAGAATAAACAAGCCATGATTTCCTGAATGAATCTTCTTAGCTTAGAGGATTAATTCTTTATTTTATTGAACTCTCATTGTACATCAGACATTGTTCCAGATTATGTGTAGACTTTTGACTTCAGAAATTTAAAATCAAGGGGCGCCTGGGTGGCGCAGTCGGTTAAGCGTCCGACTTCAGCCAGGTCACGATCTCGCGGTCGGTGAGTTCGAGCCCCGCATCAGGCTCTGGGCTGATGGCTCAGAGCCTGGAGCCTGTTTCCGATTCTGTGTCTCCCTCTCTCTCTGCTCCTCCCCCGTTCATGCTCTGTCTCTCTCTGTCCCAAAAATAAATAAACGTTGAAAAAAAAAATTAAAAAAAAAAAAAGAAATTTAAAATCTAGAAGGGAAATAAAAAGACTCATCATGGTCACAGCAGAGTCCCAAATTTTCAAAATAGGTCTATATCATTCCAAATCCTTTTATTCTAAGTATTACCCAGGAAGTAGCTGAGATGACATTATTCCTTTTCAGGCCAGCAGTATTCAGTGATGAGACCCATTGGATATGAGCCAGAAGCTGGTGAGGTAGACAGACAATTTTTGAGAAGGTTATTCCAAAGCTCAGTCCTACCAGATGGCTATGGATGGTTGGGTGTAGGAAAGGTTCACTGAATACCTTGACCAATAGCTCATTGTTGAGTAACACTTTTGGTATAAGACACACCATTGTCAGGCTGAAAATGGCCCAGAAAGCAAAACACAAGACTCAGATTAGTTTCATGGGCCATCGTCTTGTGCCTGGAGCTGGCTGATTAAACTGGAATAGCAACTCCATAGCTTGAAAATGTGTCAACAGTGTGATGCACCACTAATAGCTCTGAGAGGGGACACAGGTTCCATGTAGAGAGATTGGCCAACTTTTGGCAGGAGTCAAAGTAAGGCATGTGGTGTGGTAGCCTCTGCCTCAGAGACGTGGAGTAGTTTTCTTTGTAATGATTGGTGTGTCGCCGTGTCTGGTACAACAATGGATCCAGGCAGCAATGGTGGCACTGTGGATGATTTACGCTCAGTCAGAAGCTTGATTTCAGTCTGAGAATGGGCAGAGAAGGGACCCTTATCATAGGCATCTATATGACTTACTCACATGGTTCAGTCAGGAGCTATGATTTGTTACCATAGTTTTCAGACTCAAACAGAAGTGTTTTTAATCTTCCAGTCTGTAGTTTTCCAAATGGCAAACCAAACAAGCAGGCCATTGGCAATAGTCCAAGAGTCAGTAAAAATATAACAGGTTCATCAAGGGGAATATTGGCCAGAGCAATGAGAGTAGCCTTGAGTTCTGCCCACTGAGTAGATTGACTGTCCATTTTTGATCCTCCATAGCTCTCATTGAGGTTTAAAACCACAGCATGTTAGTAAACCAGACCCAGAGACTCTTAAGTGTCAAAATCATTAGTCATAGAGACTTGTAACTCAAAGGGGTCATTAGGGTTGTGTGACCCCAAAGGTACTAGCATCCTCTACTTGTGGCTCATTCATAATACAAACATGTAAAGCATCAGTACCAGTTATACATTCAGTAGTGGAATAATATATTCTGCTACAGAAGTAATATATTGCTAGTTTTCCTTCTCCACTTTGAGCAAACCCTGCCCACACCCCACTAGCTGAATCCAGACATCTCCTCCCCATAGAGACTGAGTAGGATGATCAATTTGGCACTCCTATCCAAAGAGGCCATAAAAGTACATGACTTCGCCCCTCTGAAGTTAGACAGTTTACTTGAACAGATGAATGTGGCATCTGATCTCCCTTGGGGACAGGGAGACCTTGGTCCCACATCTAGTCATCTTTCTCCTTAGAGTAGTTGAGGTTGGCGCATGGAGGAGGGAGGAATCAAGGGGGCAGAGGGAGAGAGTGACTCACTACCTGGTGAATAAGAAACATTCACTTTGAGTTTTGAGTGGTATGTAGCTCAATGAAACAAACCACCAAAGTTTTCATTCCACGCAAATCCCTATATTGGGCATTGAAGTCATCACTGTTGGCACCATCTGTTTCAGTTTTGATTTAACAGCCATATCCTACATAGCTTTTCAGCTAGGGATATGGGGTTCACATTTTTGTTTGACTTGGACTTGCAGCAGAGACTTTTATAAAGTAGTCTACATTAGTCCAGGGAATTTGCAGCCCCCCTGTCGAGATAATATGTTTTAAATTCTCATTCTCTTTCAACACAGGCATCAGGGATGTTTTCCAGGACTAGGGATCTGACTGCAGGAATTTATCTAGAGTTTATTGGTCAGTTCCTCATTCTCCAGGGATCACCTTCATCAGCACTGTAAACCCAGTCCTGAGTGTAAGAGCTGAATACTAGTCAATGAGTCATTTATCACCTCTTGGGAGTTTGTCTCAGGGAAATTTCTCTGAGAGGGCCAAAGCTCCCTTATAGCAGCTAGGATGCACTGCAAAAATACTCAGACCTTTTACTCTCCTCTCCAAATGGACTTAAGGGTTGATAGACTCCAGGAGGAGTCTCCAGAGTGGTAAGACGTCTCAGCTCTTGCCCTTCCTTCTTAACAAGCATTACGTGTTCTGCCCCTTTAGTTCCCAAGGGAAACCAGCTGGTTCCTGCCCACAGCCTTCATAAATTTCCCTCCTTCCACACACAGTGTAGATACTCCTTTAGCTGTTGTCTGGAAGAAGGTGGAAATTCTCCTGCTTCCCCTACCAGGATGAATCTTAGTGCTAATTGTTACAATGGGCCAGATTGGTAGCATGTCCCTCTTGCCCATAGGAATGTTAACAACAAGCAGGCAACTGTCTGCTGTACCTCCGTGCACTTGGCCTACAATTACTTCCCCAATTTCCCCTCATTACCAGAGAGTGGAGTGGAGGGCCATTTAGTGCTGTTTGAGCACCAGAGGTGTTAAAAACTTTGAAAGTATGGGAAATGGTAGAAGCTGTCAAAAGCACAAGATGTTGGTTAAATGAAATGTCAAGCACAAATCATGGTTACACCTGCCCTACCACAACGTGATTTAAAAAAGAAAAGTATTTGGAAAAAAAATTATTAAAATAGAATGAACAAAGATTCTGAGCCACACCCTGCTCCAACCAGGGTTGGAATTACTGTGCACATGTTAGGATGATACAACGAAGACTTACCTTAATAACTGCCTGGTCTTTTGTAAAAAAATAAGATAAATTCATTGAATTTATGTGATAGATCTCTTTTTTTTTCTTAAATGAAATAATAGATGTTGCATACTCTGCTCTTAAAGATGATGCTTGCTTCATCTTTTTCTGCTTTGTGTCTAACAGAATGGAGACGGGGCGATTGATAAAGCTGAGCTTCGGGAGGCTTGTGATCAGGTCAGCTTGCACTTAGATGAGACGCTCCTGGCCCAGCTATTTGACTACTGTGATGTGGATAAAGATGGACTGATTAACTACCTAGAGTTTGCAAATTTTCTTAACTGGAAAGATAAAATGCCTCTGAAAGAGTATGAAGAGAGGGTCATTATTAAAGGTATTTAATTTTTGAAGATTTGCTAACTTCTTCAAGGGACTTTTATGTTTTTACTTTTCTAGAAGCTTGACTCTTGTCAACTTTAATATACAATATTAAATATGCACATACATATATTATTTGCTTGTTTATCCATAGAATACCTGTGGAAGGACAGGAAAGAGTTTGATGACATTTAAGGGGAACCAGGTAGCTTAGGGACACGGTGGCAGCAAGACTCACATTTTAATCTAGGTGTTTGTATCTCTTGAATTTGGAACTATGTACTCCTCATTCAGAAGAAAAAAATTAAAAGCAAAACAGTTTACACAGAGACCTAAAACACTAAAGACAGTTCCTCAGAAAACTGAAAACCATTGTCTTAATTAGCTCCCCTCCCCCAGGAAAAGTCAACAGTAAAATAGAATTTGACGTAAGAACACTTCTTCTATTACATTTTCTTACATTGACTTCCTACATCACTAACCATATATTGATAGACATATATACTATGTATATGGACATGTGTGTATATTTTAAATGTAGCTAAAATCACAGTGAATGTACCATTTTTATTTGACTTTTTAAACTTTAGCTTTCAAATTTCTATGGAATTAAAAAATAGTTTTATGGTAAACTTTTCTGTAAATTTCATTTTCAGTTCCCTCATGCTGATATATTATGAATTACTAAGCCATTTCCTTACTCTTTGAAATTTAGGTTGTTTCCAGATATTTTGAAAGTAATATTGATAACACTCAAAAAGCTTTGTTTCTAATTATATCTCATTTCTTATGAATGTTATTATTGTCCCAGAAGAACTCTGTATTTTCATTTTGCTTTTCTAAATGATTGTAGCAGTCTGTGATTGTATCAGCAAAATCTTTGAGGTTTGACCCTAACTTTGCTACCACTGAGTATTATTTCAAACATTCTTGTAATTTAGTTGTTATGATACCTTGTTTGCTTTAATGTTCAAATCTTGATTATTAAGGAAGATTAACTTTTTTAAAAGACTGTTTACGTTTTTTATCTCCTCTTGGAATATTTTTCTCTAAAAAGTGAAGTTATTACTGTTTTTACTTTTATTTCTGGGCCATGCCTTCCTGCAAGGTCAAAACCAAATTTGGGGCTTTATTGATGATGTGTGACCCCTTATGGGTTTCTGAGATGGCCTTTCTATTCTAACCACAAGGAAAGCAGGAAGTTCTTCTCTGCCTAATGAAGATTTTATGGAAAACATTTCTACCCTCGTCCTCTCAGAAATACAAAGGGGTGATAGATTTATTTTCTTCTTGGCACAACTCATGGAATAGTGGCCGAGGGCTGAAGCTGGTTTGAAACCAGATTTTCAAATTGTTCTTGATTTTTGGGTTCTGACTTCATCAGCCATTTTCAATGGAGTCCTTGAAATTTTTCACCTTCTCAGAATCTTCTAAGATAGTGGCCAGTGGTTTAGTCAGGAAGGGCTCAGGAATGTTTCGCCAGGAATTTTTTTTTTTTAAATTTTTTGGAGAGAGAGTGTGAGCACAGGTGAGTAGGGATTGGTGGGGAGAGGGACACAGGGAGAGGGAGAGAGAATCTTAAGCAGGTTCCATGCTTGGTGCAGAGCCTGACGTGGGGCCCAATCCCACAACCCTGGGATCACCATCTGAACTGAAATCAAAAGTTTCAACTGAATTTCAACTGATTGAGCCACCCAGGTGCCCCTGACAGGAATTTTCTTATATCAAATTCTATATTACTGTTGACTTCTAGAGGAAAAGAGGTCAGTGTTCTAAGGTAGTGGCTTGCTTTCTTTCTTCCTTTCTTTGTTCTTCTTTTCTTTCTTTTCTTTTTTCTTTTCTTTTTTTTTCCTTTCCTTTCCTTTCCTTTCCTTTCCTTTCCTTTCCTTTCCTTTCCTTTCCTTTCCTTTCCTTCCCTTTCCTTTCCTTTCCTTTCCTTTCCTTTCCTTTCCTTTTCTTTCCTTCATTTCTTTCTTTCAAGTTACTGTTTTTTATTATTTTTTTACTTTTGAAATTAAAAAAAAATTCCAGTTAGTTAATAAGGAAGTCGCTTTCTAACAGTTTTCTGAGAAACTGTTTCTCATACTTTGTCCAGATTTCTGCCTTTTGAGGGGTGCAGGGACAGCATTAGAGGTTTTGGAACACAAGGTCTGAAAGTGTTCATGGCAACAATTGGCAGGAGCTGAATAGGGGCTGCAGACTTTAGATAGGCGTGTCTTTTCTGGTTTGCCACGGTTCTCACCCCAATCTGATACTGGGGTTCCATTTGCCTTTGCAACCCTTGCTTTCCCAGAACCCTGAGAGTTCTCCTAGGAATTGAAAGACCACAGCGCCCTCTAGTGCTGGCTGTGTAGCTACCAGGTCTGTGAAAAAGCTGTGTCAGGAATTCAGTCCTAAATTTCGGAATGACTCAGTAAAGTAAATCTTCAAAAAGACAGAGTCTTAGAATTGGAGTTTTACCTCAGGGTTTTCTTTTATATACCGATTCGAGGAGGTATATAACCTAACCCTAGATGATTTATATAATCGGTTCTTGAGCTCACGCTGTGTTCTCACTGCCAGTCCAAATGTTGCAATAAATGGGGTTCCCTGCCACCATCAGGCATGCGTGGAATTTACAACCCCGATATGTCTTCTCCCTCCCTCCCTCCTTGGGGGAGAACTCTGGAAACAACTCTGGTAATCCTGTAGTTCAAGTTAAATATGAAAAGAAGTTCTAATTTTTTTTTTTTTTTTAAGGAGAAATAGGTTCCATGGTTTCATTTGGTCTCTCAGATTTAAAAGCTTTATTTTAGAGTAAAGCGAGTGGAGTGGCAAGAAGAAACCTTAGGCTACATTGGGATTCCCATATATGTCATCAGCCTGCCCTTGCTCTCCCACAGTGGGACGCTGGCTTCAGTGGAGGGTTTCCATCAGCCCAGTCTCTGTCTCCACCAGCAAGGAGGGACTAACCAGGAAAATGGATTTTGCTGTAGAGCAGTAAGCACCAAGTAGTAATTTCTTCCTGTACTCCCCTCCCCCCTCAACTCCCCCGCCTTTCCCTCTTTGCTTGAAGGTAGAAAACCAGATTATGCAAACCCTGCGGAGGCTAATATTGAAGAATCTGAACCAACTCTCCTGATAAAGCCAGAAGATACTGTCTTAAAAGAACCAGGGAGCTCAGAAAAGACTCTCCGGACACTTCTGAGGCCAAGTGATAAAGTTTCTAATCACTATAAGACAACTTCTTCTGAGATCAATGCGGTTGTAGGAGCTGTTCCTTCTCTTTGTGAGTATGTCACGTTATTTGCTGAGTTCTAAAAGGATCAGCAAACATAGAAGTGTTCTTTGTCCTTGTATTATCCCCAGTCTCTTATCTTCATTAGGCTGTTTCTCAAAGCCTAGGACCTTTCATTCAGTTCTGTATTTGAAGCAACCAGGGGGGTCTCAGTAAATGTAGGGAGAACTGAACTATTGTTAATGATGACCCAAGTAATATGATTCTCTCAACACTAATGAAATTGATCTGTGATGAGCAGAATATTGAATATTACGCAGACTTCACCAACTGTTAGGAGACTTATAAACCATGTGATTCTTAGCTACAAACAGATTTGCCTTCAAATATTTGAAGAGCTGTCACAAAACTCTTCTCTGTATCTTCATTCTCCTTCTGCTAGTTTGCTAGGGCTGCCATAACAAGTACTGCAAACTGGATGGCTCAAACAACAGATATTTATCATCTTATGGTTTTGGAGGCTGAAAGTCTGAGGCCAGGGTATTGATGGGAGTTGGTTCCTTCCAGAGCTGTGAGGGACAATCTGTTCCAGGCTCCTCTCCTAGATTTTGACAATTTTTGGTGTTCCTTGGCTTCTGCTGTATCACCCTGATACCTGCCTTCACCCTCACATGGTGTTCTCCCGTGTGAGATGCCCCCTTTTGTAAGGACCCCATTCACATTGGATGCGTGGCCTACTCTACTCCAGTATGACCTCATCTTAATTAATCACAAATACAATGACTATTTTTTTAATGATTTATTTATTTTCTTTTTTTTAATGTTTATTTTTGAGAGAGAGAGAGAAAGACAGAGCATGAGCAGGGGAGGGGCAGAGAGAGAGAGGGAGACAGAATCGGAAACAGGCTCCAGGCTCCAAGCAGTCAGCATAGAGCATGATGTGGGGCTCAAACCCACAAACCGTGAGATCATGACCTGAGCTGAAGTTGGATGCTTAACCAACTGAGCCACCCAGGCACCCCGCAATTACTCTGTTTTTAAATAAGGTCACATTCTGAGGTACTGGTGGTCAGGATTTTAACATATAAATCTGGGGAGAATATAGTTCAACTCATAACACCTCATTATCTTAATATTGAGCATGATGATTCTTGGCTAGTTAGAAAGATTATTTTATGTTGGTCAAGATCACTTCCTGAGACTAAGGACATGACTAAGGATTTGCATGTTTTTCTTAACTGGATTTTTTAGATATGCCATATATTCTGGTGTAATGAGCTTCTATCCCATTAGAATAGTACTGTCCAATAAAAATATAATTGGAGTTATATGTATTTAAAAAATTTTAGTAGTGGGGCGCCTGGGTGGCGCAGTCGGTTAAGCCTCCGACTTCAGCCAGGTCACGATCTCGCGGTCCGTGAGTTCGAGCCCCGCATCAGGCTCTGGGTTGATGGCTCAGAGGCTGGAGCCTGTTTCCGATTCTGTGTCTCCCTCTCTCTCTGCCCCTCCCCCATTCATGCTCTGTCTCTCTCTGTCCCAAAAATAAATAAACGTTGGAAAAAAAAAGAAAAAAAAATTTTAGTAGCCACATTAAGAAAAAGAAACAGGGAGGGGCGCCTGGGTAGCTCAGTCATTGAGTATACAACTTTGGCTCAGGTCATGATCACAGTTTGTGAGTTTAAGCCCCATGTTGGGCTCACTGCTCTCAGTGCAGAGCCCGCTTTGGATCCTCTGTCCTCTCTCTCTCTGCCCCTTCCTGCTTGCACTCTCTCTCTCTCTCTCACAAAAAAAAAGAAGGAAAAAGAAACAGGTGAAATCAATTTTAATAGTATATACACTTTATATATAATACATAGATCTTCCAAATACCTTTTCAACAAGTAATCAATACAATATGATTAAATATTTCACTTTTTTGGGAGTACTAAATCTTTGAAATTCAGTGTGTATTTTACCCTTACATCACATCTCAACTTGGGCTAGCCCATTTCTTTTTCTTTTTTTCTTTTTTTTTAAATATTTCTTCTTTATTTTTTGAGAGAGAGTGAGTGCATGCATGCAAGCAAGGCAGGGCCAGAGGGAGAGGTAGGGAGAGAATCTCAAGCTTGCAGAGTACAATGCAGGGCCCAATCTCATAATGTGAAATCATGACGCAAGCCGAAATCAAGAGTCAGATGCTTAACGGACTGAACCACCGAGGCACCCCCGACTAGCCCCATTTCAAGTGTGTACTCAATAGTGACAGGTGACTGGTAGCTACTGTATTGTATAGCTCAGTTGTAGAATGTCTGTTTTCCTCTCTCATTGATTTCCTCTAGGTTATCCCATCTATGGTGTTCCAACCATTCGGTCTGATATCCCTGCCCCCCGAATTCGTCGCATCAGTGATAGAACTAATTATGGTGAAGAGGGCAATGCCTATTCATTACTACACCCTACCATCTTTGGCCAGAAAGGAGTGTTTGAAAGAGACTTCTTCAAGACAAGATCTAAAAAAGAGGTAGAGTGTATTATTTCAAAAGAGTTGAAAGACATGTCAACTTTGCGTAAACACACAAAGATGAAAATGCTTATTTATCAACAACTATTTAATTTTTGACTTTTAAAAAGTTGAGCTTTTATGTTACAAAAGTCATCAGGATCCCAAAATAGAGGATTCTTAAGGATACTATTTAGTTTGGTTGTGACATTTTGGTACAATTCTTGGAGCAGAGTTTCCTCTGTGATAGGAAACATTACTCTCATATGATACATCCACTAGGATCTATGTATAAAAAGAAATGTTTTCCTACGGAACTCAATCAAAAGGGATCACTCCTTTCCTTGTGTAAGTATCTCATGGTTATATCTCCAACACCAAAGAGTAGGCATGAGAAGGGCCACTCTGCCACCCTCCTTATATACTGCTATCTGATTTAAAATATTCCATCCTGTTGCCACGTCCTTTGTCAGCCCATGTATCTTGTTTCTGTTTTGTTTGTTAGAAAACATGGTCCTCATATTCCAGGTGATTTTCTTCCTAGGTGGGTTAGAAAACAGGAGTGACCAGCTACATCAGAATAGCCACTAGGGTTCTTAGGGCCAAGGATTAATAGCAATGCATGGTCAGCCTGCTTGATCTGCACTCATGGAAGGCAGCGTGTAATCTAGGACACAACTGCTGCTTCAGAACTCTCATATCCAGAGCTAGGAATGATATGAGGAGACATGTAGACATATGATGCTTTCTGAGACTTCAGATGAAGAGTTGATTACTTGAAAATTTACTAATTCCTACCTTAATTATAACAGATTCATTCTAACAATTCATCCCCACTGAGGTAGGGGACAGAGGAAGGGAGGAGAGGCCTTTTGCCTGGCCTTTGGGACCACCCCAGGGGATCAGAGAAGGGACACCCCAGACTGTGTTTTCACATCCCTTAATTACTCTAACGGCCATATGAAATAGAAGTTCAGGGTTGCCAAAAGAAACAAAAATCTCCTGCTTGTTGCATGTTGCCTAAAATTCTTTTAACTAGGAAGTCATCCTTTGTCTCACACATCTGGAAAAGAAAAGAACCCAGATGAGTGGTTGGAGTGAGAATGGACGGGTTTCTGGAAAGATCAGCTAATCTGTGTATTACAATGGAATGGGGACCTAAGGGAGGGATGCCTCCTGAGGAGGGGGAAAGGAAGTGGAGGAGGAGGCCACTTCAGGAGTTGACTCTGTGGGGACACTCCTTACCTGTCACTGTGGGTGGGGCAGCAGGAAAACGCTGTTCTGCACAGGGCCACTGAGGTGTTTTGCTGTACAACTGCAGCTTCTGCAGCTCTTCTGAATTTCAAGTGTAGTTGATCATACGGTTAATTTCCCAGGAGGGCACATCATTTCTCCAGGATCTTTAAATTGTTAAGATTCCGCTTAATAGATGTATTCTGCAACTCTTCTATTTCTTTGGCTTTCCTATTCACTGTCTAACCTTTCTTTCTATTTCCCTCTGCTTTTTTTTTTTCTGTGTGCTTCATAATAAATGTTTTTCCTCCTTTAAATTTAATTTTTTTTTCAAATCTTTTATTTCCTCTACTCACTCTAACATTTCTTTCTACTTCTATGTCTTATCTTTCCTTCCTTATGTTTTCCCTTAATAATTATCATTGCAGAGAGGTTGCTAACCAAAGTTTGCTGGCTTTCAGTATGTTCAGATTTTAGTTTGCTCAGTTGTTCATGCATGCTTTATCTCTCTGGCATTTGCACATTCACAACTGTAAAGTTTATATCGGGCCAGTTAGGGACATTTTATAAATGATCCTATTTTAGAGAAGGGAATTTTCAAGGGGTTTACCTGACATACACAAGATCCTAGTGACAAGAAGTGAGTGAGATGGAACTTAAATCCAATGTGTCTTCTCTAACTTTTTATTCTTTCTGCTTGAATTTGGCTGCTACCTTAAAAAAAATTTTTTTTAATGTTTATTTCTGAGAGAGAGAGAGACAGAGTGCGAGCAGGGGAGGGGCACAGAGAGAGGGAGACACAGAGTCCGAAGCAGGCTCCAGGCTCTGAGCTGTCAGCACAGAGCCCGACATGGGGCTTGAACCCACGAACTGTGAGATCATGACCTGAGCCAAAGACGCTTAACCGACTGAGCCACTCAGGCACCAACTACCTTTTAAAATAACCAGAAACACTTAAATAGTTGAAAGTAATTTTATATATGGGTTAGTATAGGTGAATACCCTCTTAATTGCATTAATGCTTATTTATTTATTTTGAGAGAGAGAGTTAGAGTGTGAGTGGGGGAGGGGCAGAGAGAGAGGGAGAGAGAATCTCAGTCTGTCAGCGCAGAGCCCAACATGGCTCATTAAGATCTCACTAACCATGAGATCATGACCTAAGCTGAAATCAAGAGTCAGATACTTAACTGATTGAGCCACCCAGGCACTCTAAAAATATTAAAGATATTAAAATACAAATTTAAAAACATAGATCTCAGTCTGACTTTCAATTTTTCCCCTAGATTGCAGAGATATTATGTAACATTGGTGTCAGGCTTTCTGATGAAGAATTTGAAAATGTATGGAATCTTGCATCAAAAAAACATCACAGAGGAGAAGTTTCTGTAGAGACCATCAGAAATGTTCTGGATGAGCTACAACATGCAGACCGGATCAAGTGTAAAACAACCATGTGATATTTTTGGAGTTCATTCATTTAAAAAAAGAAATGTTAAATCTGTGTTCATTAAAATGTTGAGTCCATTCTGGTTTTAGATATGTTAGATGTCAGTAGTCACTGAAGTAGGACTCATATGCCTATGTGTATTGCTAATAAATTTGATTTGGGATTTTAAGATTTATTGTATTGTTTTCTGTAAAACACCAAACAACTTGATGAGCACTTAGAGTTAATCTTTCATCTCACCAAAGGCTTAGTTCAGAATGATGTAGATGTTTGTAATGAAAGCATTGTAGACAGATGCTTAAGAAGTCTATGCATTTTAGTTGGTTGAATGAAATTCAAAGTCTAGTTTGTGATACTAGGTTGACAAAATTTTGCCTTCAATCTTTTGTTATTTTTCTCTTGAGGTGTCACTATGACAGAATGTAAGCTTAGCAAGCTTTCAATCTGTGTTAGCATCTGAGGAAAACAAACACAAGGAGCAGAATTTAGAGAAGAAAAGCTGGGGTTCCGACAATGACACGATAGCCATTAAAACTAATGGCTATTAGTTTTAATGGCTATTTAATATTCCTATGGCTATTTTAATGGCTATTTAATATTCCTATGGCCATTTATAGCAGCATTATCCACACTAGCCAAATTATGGAAAGAGCCCAAGTGTCTATCAACTGATGAATGGGTAAGGAAGATGTGGTGTTTACACACACACACATACACATACCCCCCCCACTAGAATATTACTCAGCCATGAAAAAGAATGAATTCTTGCCATTTGCACTGATGTGGATGGAACTAGAGTATGTTATGCTACATGAAATAGGTCAGTCAGAGAAAGACATATCAAATGATTTCACTCATATGTGGAATTTAAGAAGCAAAACAAATGAGTGAAGGGGAAAAAAAGAGGCAAACCAAGGAGCAGACTCTTAACTATAGAGAACAAACTGATAGTTACCAGAGGAAAGGTGGGTGGAGGGATGGGTTAAATGGGTGATGGGGATTAAGAAGTGCACTTGTGATAAGCACCAGGTATTGTACACCTGAAATCTATGTGCACTGTATGTTAATTAACTGGAATTTAAATAAAAACTTAAAAAAAAGTCTTCCTATGGCCAGAAAAGCATATTGCCCTTAAAGTATGTGAAGAGGACACAGCTGACCCACCATTACTTGCAGCTTTAGAGCACTCTTAGTAGCAAATTGCACACAATCATTTCCTCTCATGCCTTGGCCCGCTGATGCTCTGGCCTGATGAAGCAGGGATGGTGAGAAGGTGTGACCTCAGCATAGTGTGTTCTTCCTGTACATCAAAAGCACCAGTGTGGGTTAAAGCCACCACTGAAGCTTGGTTAGTAATACAACTTGATTAATTGAATTATCAATAAAATGTATTCCGTCAATGTTTTTCTGTGACAGACTTTGAATTTTGTTGTTCATTGTCTATTAATATGAAAAATTACTGTTTAAGATACTGTCGTTACAGTGTAGTCTACCATTACTTATAAAAGAGAGAGAGAGACCTAAAGTTTAAAAAATTGCCCATTCTCTAGAAAATGTAATTTTATAATTCATTTATTATATGGGTAATTTATTTAAAAAATATTTAAGTTTATTTATTTTGAGAGAGAGACAGAGAGACAGAGACAGAGACAGAGAGAGAGAATGCATGAGTGCAGGGGAGGGGCAGAGAGAGAGAGAGGGAGAGAGAGAATCCCAAGCAGTCTCCATGCCACCAGCACTGAGCCTGAGGTGGGACTGGAACCCATGAACCGTGAGATCATGACCTGAGCTGAAATCAAGAGTCAGATATGCAACCAACTGAGCCACCTAGGCGCCCCATAAAGCCACTATTTTCAAGATGAAGGGACATAACTGACTCTCGTAATACATAAAAACAAACACAGGAAGTTAGACGAGCGGCTCGTGGGTGGCTCAGTTGGTTACACATCTATTTCAGCTCAGGTTCAGCCTCGCATTGGACTCTGCACTGACAGTGGAGAGCCTGCTTGGAATTCTGTCTTCCTCTCTCTCTGCCCCTCCCTTGCTCATGTTCTCTCTCTCTCAAAAATAAATAAACTTAAAAAAAAAACCTAAAAAAGTAGATTAATCACTTATAAAACTGTATGGAGGTTAAAGCACAAAAGCAGTAAAATCAATTATACAAAAGTCAAGGGATTCACAAAATAAAAGGTTGCAAAGTATGACATTATGTACATAAAACATGGTTGGTGGGGAGTAAAAACTTAGTGCTTTTAGAATGGGTTCACACCCTTTGTTTGACAATATTGCTATGTGCATAAGATGTTATATATAAGCCTAATGATAACCCCAAATCAAAAATGTATAAAAGTCCTGTCAGTTAAGGGTCTGACTCTTGATTTCGGCTCAGGTCATGATCTTGCAGTCATGAGATCAAGCCCTGCATGGGGCTCTGTGCTGACAGCATGGAGGCTGCTTGGGATTCTTGCTCTGCCCCTCCTCTGTACTCTCTTTCTCTCTCTTTCAAAATAAATAAGCTTTTTTTTTTAAAAAAGGAAAGGAAATAAAAGATATCTAAATTGGTAATGAAAAAGTAAGACTTTCACTAATTACGGTTGACATGATACTAAATATAGAAAACCCTAAAGACTCCACCAAAAAACTATTAGAACTGATAAATCAGTGAAGTCACAGGATATAAAATTAATATACATAAATATGTTGCATTTTTATACACTATTAATGAAGTAGCAGAAGGAGAAATTAAGAAAACAATCCCACTTAAAATTGCACCAAAAATAATAAAGTACCCAGAAATAAACAACCAAGGAGGTGAAAGATCTGTATTTTGAAAACTATATATTGGGGAGCCTGGGTGGCTCAGTCGGTTAAGCGGCCGACTTTGGCTCAGGTCATGATCTCGCGGTCCGTGAGTTCGAGCCCCGCATCGGGCTCTGTGCTGACAGCTCAGAGCCTGGAGCCTGTTTCGGATTCTGTGTCTCCCTCTCTCTGACACTCCCTCGTTCATGCTCTGTCTCTCTCTGTCTCAAAAATAAATAAACATAAAAAAAAATTTATAAAACTATATATTAATGAAAGAAATTGAAGAAATCACAAGTGGAAAGATGCTGTGCTCATGGATTGGAAGAACAAATATTGTTAATATGTCTATACTACCCAAAGCATTAAATATCCACATATTTAATGCAATATCTATTAAAATCCCAACATTTTTCACAGAACTAGAACAAATAATCCTAAAATGCATATGGAACCACAAAAGACCCTGCATCAAAAATAGACACCGTAGATCGATAGAACAGAATAAAGAGTTCAGAAATAAACCCATGCTTTTATGGTCAATTAATCTATGACAAAGGAGGCAAGAATATACAGTGGGAAAAAGACAAATGGTATTGAAAAAACTGGACAACTACATGGAAAAGAGTGAATTTGGACCACTTCCTTATACCATAAACAAAAATAAAATCAAAATGGATTAAGGACCTAAATGTGAGACCTGAAACCACAAAATTCCTAGCAGAAAACATGGGCAGTAATTTCTTTCATATCAGCTATAGATACATTTTTCTAGATATGTCTCCTCTGGCAAGAGAAACAAAAGGAAAATTAAAGTATTGGGATTACACCAAAATAAAAAGCTTTTGCATAGCAAAGGAAACCATCAATAAAACAAAAAGGCAACCTACTGAATGAGAGAAGATATTTGCAAATGATACATCAGATGAGGGGTTAATAACCAAAATATATAAAGATCTTATATAACTTAACACCAAAAAAATATTAATAATAAAAGAAATTTAAAACTACAATAAAAAATAGTCCAATTAAAAATGGGTAGAGGACCCAAATACCCATTTTTCCTAAGAAGATATTAGGATGGCCCTACAGGCACATGAAAAGATGGCCAAAACCACTATCAGGGAAATGCAAATTAAAACCACAGTGAGATATCACTTTGCATATGTGAGAATGGCTAACATAAAAAAAATGCAAAAAAAAAAAAAAAAAAAAAACAAGTGTTGGCAAGGATGTGGAGAAAAAGGAACCTTTGGGTGCACTGTTGGTGGGAATGCAAATTGGTGTAGTCACTCTGGAAAATAGTATAGAGGGTCCTCAAAAATTAAAAATAGGATAACCATATGGTTCAGTAATTCCACTGCTGGATATTTAGCCAAAGAAAATGAAAACACTAATTCAAAAAGATATATGAACCCCTATGTTTATTGCAGCATTATTTAAAACAGCCAAGATACAGAAGCAACCCGTGTCCATCCATAGATGAATGGATAAAGTAGAGGTGGTATGTGGGTATACATACATACCTATGGAATGTTATTCAGCCATGAAAAGAATGAAGTCTTGCCATTTGCAATGACATGGAGGAACCTAGGGGGTGTAATGTTAAGTGAAATAAGCCAATCAGAGAAAGACAAATACCGTATGATTTCACTCATATGTGGAATTTAAGAAACAAAACTAATAAAGAAAGAAAGACAAAAGGACAGACTCTTTGGCAAACCAGGTTGCCAAAGGGGAGGTAGGTGAGGGGACGGGTGAAAAAAAGAGGTTTACATTACACTTATCTTGATGAGCGCTGAGAACTGTAGAGAATTGTTGAGTAGTTGTATTATACCCCTGAAACTAATATACCTCTGTATGTTAATTATAATTGGGGGGTAAAAAAACCAGCCTTTAATATGTGGACTAACCTGCCGTAAGCAGTATGCCATCTCTGACCAAGGTTCAGCAAAAAGCGGACAGCCCAACCGTGAAACCAGCTGCACTGCACCAGGTCAGCTCCTGGAATCAAACAGCTCACGGTGCTTGGGATGCTGTGAGGTGCATGATGCTGGAGATTTTCTTTTCATGCAGATGAACATCTTGTATTTGGCTATATTAAGAAAGAATGAGGAACTGTCATCTCAATCAAGTTTCATGCCTTCAATGATTTCTAATTCATCATTTAGTTTTGTTCCACTCTTTGCTAAAGTGACATCCTTTCCCCCAGATTGTGTTGCATCAGAAAAGTAGTGCTGATTTCTTGATTCCTATTTGTAAGAATTACGGTCCTGGCATGACACGGTCTTCAGGCCCTCACGCTTCACTAAATCTGGCCACATGGTGTCATAAAATGCTCAGCAATTTTAGTTTATCAATCAGACTCTTCTTGAGGAGCAAACTGAGAGCATTTGATATGAATAACAAATCTGGATTCGTGACCTTAGGAAGGACACCGAAACTTACAAAGCTGTGGCTTTCTTATTTACAAAATGGAAATAACATCAGTCCCTTATGAACTTGTAAGGCAGCTTTGATGGCATATGTGAGCACCTAGAACCATTTTAGCTCAATAAATAGGAGTCAAAAGACCTGATTCAGGTCATAGCTCATCTCACCTACTTGTAAGTACTATTTTGTTCTCCATATATTAATATAATTATGTTGACTTCTTCTTCGTTTTGTCCTCATCCCCCTGATTCTTTTTCTTAAGTAAGTGTCCATCGTTGATTTTGGCAGATTCGATAATCCCCACTGACTTACTGCTCTAGGTAATTTAGAATCCACCTGGCATGTCTATCACTATGCTTTGAGCAGAGCTCCTCATTTTATTATTTTTTTAAAAAATGTGTACACAAACAATATACTGGGATTCTTACTGTGATTGCATTGAGTGTAAAGATGAATTGGGGGGAACTGACATTTTTATAAAGTTTTGACTACCAAACAATAAATATGATACATTCATACATTCATTGAACTTTTCTTTATCTCAGTAATTCTTCTCAATTTTCCATGTTGAGATATTGTACATTTTCTGTTAGATTTATTCCTAGGTATTTGGTATCTTGATTTTATAATACATTGTATCCATTTTCATGTTGTTATTCTATTTTTTATTTTTTTAAAGTATTTATTTTTTTAAAGTTCATTTATTTAGAGAGAGAGAGAGAGAGGGAGAAGGGGAGGGGCAGAGAGAGAGAGAGAGAGGGACAGAGGATCTAAAGTGGGCTCCACACTGACAGCAGAGAGCCCCATGTGGGGTTTGAACTCACCAACTACAAGATGATCTGAGTTGAAGTCAGACACTTAACCGACTTACCCAGGCATCAATGTATCAATTTTTTTTTTAAATTTTTTTTTTCAACGTTTATTTATTTTTGGGACAGAGAGAGACAGAGCATAAACGGGGGAGGGGCAGAGAGAGAGGGAGACAAAGAATTGGAAACAGGCTCCAGGCTCTGAGCCATCAGCCCAGAGCCCGACACGGGGCTCGAACTCATGGACCGCGAGATCGTGACCTGGCTGAAGTCGGACGCTTAACCGACTGCGCCACCCGGGCGCCCCTCAATGTATCAATTTTTAAATAGATTTATTGAGATATCATTTACATGCAGTAAGATCCACTGTCACAAACACAACATAGAACTGTTCTATCATGTCACAAAATTCTCTGGTACCCTTTTGCGGTAAACATCTCCTCTTCCACATTCTAGCCCCTCACAACCACTCATTTGTTTCTTTGTCCTGTAGTTTTCACCTTTTTGAAAATGTCATATCAATGGAATCGTGGAATATGTAGCTAGCATTTTGAGAGTAACTTCTTTCACTTAGTAATGATTTTAAGATCCATCTACGTCATTGCATGGGTCAGGAGTTCACTCTTTATTGCTGAGTAATATTCCACTGTACGGATGCACCACAATTTACCTGTTTACCAGTTAGAAATCTGAGTTGTTTCCAGTCTTTACCAATTCTGAATAAAGCTGCTATGAACACTTGTGAATAGGTATTGTGTAAACATAAGTTTTCATCTCTCGGGAAAATAACTATGGGTGAGATTGCTGGGCTATATGGTAAGCATATGCTTAACTGTATAAGAAACTGAAAATCTGTTTTCAAAATGGCTCTATCATTTTGCATTTTCACCGGCAATTTATGAGAGTTCTAGTTCATCCTGGTATTGTGTTTGAAAAAATTATTTTCGTCTAATAGGTCTGAAGTAATAGCACATTGTGGTTTTAATTTACATTTTTGTAGTGACTAATGATGTTGAACATCCTTTATGGGCTCATTGGCCATGCATATATCTTCTCTGGTAAAGTATACATTCTAACATGCTGCCTAGTTTTTTTAAAAGTTTATTTATTTTGAGAGAGGGAGAGAGAGAAAGCATGAGCAGGGTAAGGGTAGACAGAAAGGGAGAGAGAGAGAATCCCAAGCAGGTTCTGGGCTGTCAGCTTGGAGCCTCATGTGGGGCTTGATCTCACGAACCATGAGATCATGACCTGAGCAGAAATCGAGTCAGACGCTTAACCGACTGAGCCATGCATGCACTTCACTGCCTATTTTTTAAAAAGGCTTGTTTTCTTATTATTGAGTTTTGTGAGTTCTTTATGTATTATAGATACAAATCCTTTATCAGATATGTGTTTTGTGGATATTTTATTCTATATTTAGCTTGCCTTTAAAAAATTTTTTTTAAATGTTTTTGAGAGAGAGAGACAGAGTAGGGGAGGGGCAGAGGGGGAGGGAGACACATAATCCAAAGCAGGCTCCAGGCTCTGAGCTGTAAGCACAGAGCCTGACGTGGGGCTTGAACTCACAGACCACAAGATCATGACCTGAGTTGAAGTCGGTTGCTCAATCGACTGAGCCACACAGGTGCCCCGCCTTTTTATTTTCTTAACAGTGTCTTTCAAAGAAATAAGCTTAAAATTTTGGTGAAATAGGATTTATCAATAATATAGCAAAATTGCCAGCCCTCCTGAATTTGGTGATCATAAATTGAAAGTGAGACCAATCACTTGATTTTGTATCTTTTTTGGTTAGTTTCTTCATATGCAACTGCTGCACTTCAGATTTGGAATAAGTGGAGATATGAATTTAGGGGTGGAATTTAACCTGGTGAATAAAATGGTGGGAGGAAGGGACCAAGGAGTTGAGTGTATGCAAGGAGTTGATTCCAGTGATAGAACATAGAAACTAAGATGAGTAAAGAGGAAGTTCAGAAATAAATGATAGTGAAAAATGGCAGGATTAATGGATTGGGCTATCCCAGTCAAAGAATTGTGGGAAAGTT